TTCACTTACAGTCCTGTTATTTGTTCCCCTCGAGTGCGGTTATATAGTCATCATTGCTGTCAGTACCCCCTCCCCCAAGTTTATCATTTTGATGAAGCCTAATTTATATATTTGTATGGGTTATGCTTTTATGTTGTAACTAAGAAAATTTTACCTCATCTAAGGTCATGAATTTTTTTTTTTGGTCATGAATATTTTGTGTTTTCTTCTAGAAATTTTATCAGTTTAGGTTTTATATTTAGGATTATTATCCATTTTTAGTTAATTTTTATGTAAGGTGTAAGGTAAGTGTTGCGTGTAGTATTCAATTGTTTCAGCTCCATTTGTTGAAAAGATTATTCTGTTTTCCATTGAATTGCCTTTGCACTTTTGTGAAAACTCATTTTAGCATACATGTGTGGGACTATTTCTGGCTCTTTTTCTTTGGTCTCTTAACAGTATCTCTCTACACACAGTAAATTTCTGTCCTTTCCCTGCAAATATCACACTGTCTGATCTCATATTTTAAAGTCAAGTCCTACTGATGTATTATTTTGGAACAACTATGTATCTGATAAGTGTTTGGGCACACTGAATACGCTTAATATTGTAAAATATTTACAATTTGAAATTCGTGTTTTGGTGCCAATCTTAGCTCAGTGGTGGAGGGGGGTAGAGTTGATAACTCAGACAGTGAGGGTACTGAAAGACCATCATCATACCAATCACCTCTCTAAGTCACAGTTGAAAAGAACCAAGGAATTAAATGAAATGCCTTCAGCAAATCTTTGTAGAGTAGTGTTCTAGGCACTATGCTATATGGAAATGAATAATATAACTCATATACCTGCCTTCATAGAATGTAATGTCTAGAGAGATATTCAAGCAACTAGAAAAACATGTAAATAAAATTATTTCAGATTGTAATAAGCACCAATAAGAAATTATAATACGCGCTCTTGGTTTCTCCTCCATCCTGAGTGTGGTGTTGCTCTGACTTCACCATGTCGTCTCATAAGACTTTCAGGACCAAGAGATTCCTGGCCAAGAAACAGAAGCAGAATCGGCCCATTCCTCAATGGATTCGAATGAAAACCGGTAATAAGATCAGGTACAACTCCAAGAGAAGACATTGGAGAAGAACCAAGCTGGGTCTGTCAGGAGCCCCCTGAGGGATGGCATGCACGGCCGCATTTGCCCAGGCTCAAATCATGTTGAGTTGCATTAAGACTTTGGCCACCATCTGATCAATTGAACTTGTATTGGCAAATAATCTGATTTCTTCCTTGGTTTTTATGCTTCTGCATCAAGATTAACACTAAATAATGTAAGGCTGTTGGTTTGGAAAAAAAAAGTAAAAGAAATTATAATGCATTACTAGAATGAAAGCTGATGTGCATGGGGCTGTGTTGGCTGGAATTTTCAGGGAAGGCCACTTGTTGGAAGTGACATTTGAGTCGAGATCTGAATAAAGAGAAGGGGGTGATAGTGACAATCTGGGGGAAATCATATTCTAGGTAGAGGGAACAGCAAGTAAGTATAAAGGCCTTGAGGCCCATGCGATCCTGACAGATGACAGGTGAAGGCTGGTGTGTATTTGTTTGTGTGCATGTGGGTGGTGGATATGAAATGTAGTGAGAGATAGATGGGATGGTTACAATCAGACCTTCACTCATCTCCCAGCAGTTTGTTCTGCCATTCACATTCTGTCTTCTAGGTATTTTGAATGTTTCTGCTCTCCAAACAAGGGCTTCCTTTTTATACTCACAAATGTTTCAGAAGTGGTTTCCTCAAGCTGCAATGTATGGCAGTGACGAAGCTCTCCTTTGTCTGGAAGAGGATGTCCCTGAGTTCTGGGAGAGGATATTGATAGAGTCTCCTTTCAAACCAGATACTGACCTACCTCTTGACTGTTACATGGGAGAAAAATTAACTTCTGTCTTGTTTGACACACTGTGTTTTGGGTCTATATCAAAGTAACGTGTATGCTAAAATTTTCTCCTTTGCCTAGTGAACTCTAATTCTATCCTTTAAGATAAAGCCCTAAATATCATGTCTTTCTTCTGCTTTTTCCCACCTGGTCCTGGGAAATTAGTTAATCATTTTTTCTTCTAAAGTCTCATAGTAATTGGCATAGCTATCAAGGTATCCACTCAGTAAACCGTATTGACTAGGAGGAGTCTAATAGAAGTCCTGTACTGTGTTAAATAAGGAGTTTGTGGCCCAGAGGGGAGGAGATAATTGCAAAGCAGTGATAGGACAATCTCTCTAAGAAATGAGTTGCAGGGAAGCGGACAACTCTAACTTTTCCTTCTTCCTCATGCTCCATCTCCAGTTCTAGTGAGATGTTAAGGCATAAATAAGGTTTTACAACATAGACTTCGGCCACTTGTCTGTCAGTTTGTAGTACGGTGGTGGTTTGTGTATTGCTGTGATGCTGGAAGCGATGTCACTGGTTTTTCAAATGCTATCAGGGTCACCCAACGCAAACAGCTTTCAGTGGAGCTTCCAGACAAAGAACAGACAATGAAGAGGTCCCAGCTCCCCGCTCCGGAGGAAGGAGCCACTGAAAACCTTATGTACAGCTTCTAAGCATTGTCAAACACTGAAAGCCTAAACAAAGGAACATTGTTGGAGATACTGCCAGGGGATGGGCCCCTCAGGTCCAAGGGTACTCAAAATGTGAGTGAAGAGAAGCTGATTTCTTGGAGGGGAGTTGACCACGGTGACATGAATCAGGTAAAGCCTGTGGGAGTGGAGTCTTTGGGACCTTCATTTGCTTATGGGGCATGACTCAAGGTAAAGGGAAACAGCGGCAAAACTCTTTTAATGATGGGAACTTGAAATGTGTGAAGTGTGGAGTGAGGAAAACTGGAAGTGATAAAAAATGAAATAGAACACATGAAGACTGATAGTCATGAATGAGCTGAAATGGACTGGTGTTGCCATTTTGAATCAGAATCAGATTTACTATGCCAGGAATAAACAATCAAGAACAACGGCATGGCGTTCGTTGTCAGAAAGGATCTTGCTAAATCCATCATGAAGTACAATGCTGTTTGTGATAGGATCTATCCTCTTTCAAGGGACTCCAATCAATACAACTATTATTAAAATTTATGCACCAATGAAAAAAGGTTGTGATAAAGAAATTGAAGAATTCTCCCACTGAATTCTGTCAGAAATGCATCAAACATGCAATCAAGATGCATTGATAGTTATTGGTGATCAGAATGCAAAAGTTGGAAGCAAAGAAGAAGGACCAGTAGTTGGAAAATATAGAATTGGTGATAGAAATGAAGCTGGAAATCACATGATAGGGTTTTGCAAAACCAATAACTTGTAAATAGAAAATACACTTTTCAACAACACAAAAGGTAACTACACACATGAACTTCCCCAGATGGAACACACAGCAATCAAACTGGCTATATCTGTGGGAGAAGCTCAATACCATCAGCTAAGACCAGACTAGGTACCAACTGTGGAACAGACCATAAACTGTTCATATGTAAGTTCAGGATAAAGCTGAAGAATATTAAAACAAGCCCACAAACCCACCTGGATTTTGAGAGCATCTCAAGAACAGATTTGGCTCATTGAACACTAGTGACAGAAGACCTGATGAGCTGTGGGAGGACATCAAGACCATCATGCATGCTTGAAAAAAGCAAAAGGTCTTTAAAAAGATAAGAAAGAAATAAAAGATCAAAGTGAATGTCAGAAGATACTCTGAAACTTGCTGTTCATTGTAGAAGAGCTAAAGCAAATGGAAGAAAGGATGACGTTAAAGAGGGCTGAGTAGAAAATTTCAAATAGTAGCTCAAGAAGACAAAGGTAAATATTATAATGAAATGTGCAAGGACCTGGAATTAAAAAACCAAAAGGGAAGAACACACTCAGTATATTTGTAACTGTAAGAACTCAAGAAAAAATCAAGCCTTGAGTGGCAATACTGAAAGATTCTATAGGCAAAATATTGAATGATGCAGGAAGCATCAAGAGAAGATGGAAAGAATACACAATCACTATACCAAAAAGAACTAGTCAACATACCACCATTTCAGGAGGTAGCATATGAGCAAGAACAAATGGTGTTGAAGGAAGAAGTTCAAACTGCATTGAGCTCATTAGCCAAAAACAAAGCTCCACAAATGGATAGAATAACAATTGAAATGTTTCAACAGGCTGAAGAAGCACTGGAAGCACTCACTCATCTATGCCAGGAAATTTGGAAGACAGTTACTTGGCCAACCGACTGGAAGGGATCCATGTTATGGAATGCTCAAGCTATAGAACAATATCATTGATACTGCATGCAAGTTAAATTTTGCTTAAGATCATCCAACAATGGCTGCAGCAGTACATTGACAGAGAACTACCAGAAATTCAGGCAGGTTTCAGAAGAGGATGTGGATCACTGCTGGTGTCAGATAGATCTTGGCTCAAAGCAGAGAATACCAGAAAGATGTTTACTTGTGTTTCATTGACTACAAAGGCATTTGACTATGTATAATAAACTTTGAATAACCTTGAGAGGAATGGGAATTTCAGAACACTTCATTGTGCTCATGAGGAACTTTTACATGAATAAAGGGGCAAGTCGTCTGAATAGAACAAGGGAATGCAGCATGGTTTAAAATCAGGAAAGGTGTGCATCGGGGTTGTATACTCTCACCTTACTTGATCAATTTGTATGCTGAGCAAATAAATCAGAGAAGCTGGATTATATGAAAAAGAATATGCATCAGGATTGGAGGCAGGCTTTTTTAAAAATCATTTTATTGGGGGCTCGTACAACTCTTATCACAATCCATCCATCCATCCATTGTGTCAAGCACATTTGTACATTTTTTGCCATCTTGAGCCCTTGGTATCAGCTCCTCATTTCCCCCCTCCCTCTCTCATTAACCCTTGTAACTTATAAATTATTTTTTCATGTCTTACACTGTCCGA